AAAAATTTAAAAAAAGTATAGATCTATTCTATTTTAATTGAAGCGCTTTTAACTCAGCACATTTTGCAAGTCTGTTTTACTCAGGTTTTTATAACAACAACAGCACTTATATTAAATTGTGACTTTTTTTATAAAAATGACTTCAGTTTCTATTAAGAGAAAATGAAAATTCTCAAGTATTATGAAAACAAAGTATTCTTGTTTTGCTGAAGGGCGCAACGAGAATGAGACAAAAGTGTACGATTGTTACTTGTCCGTAGGGTTGCCAAATCTCCGGATTTTCCCGGAGATCTCCGGATTTTAAGGCAAAAAATAAGGCTCTGGATGATTTCAGAAATAAATATGAAATCTCCTCTTTTTGGACGTTTTAATTTAATTTTTATAAAAATTCGATATTTAATACTTAAATTTTAATACTTAAATGTATAGAGCTGAAAATGTAAAAACTATTAAATGTAAAATGTTTTTTGTCACTAACAATTTATTGAAAATGCTCACACAGCACGTGTTCTCTTCTCTTGATTACACAATATTAAAAAATTCCGCGCGCATCTAAACTTACGAAAGCGAAATTCGTCACCGATAAATTACGTTAAGGTAATAAAGTTTTTTTGTTCACAAGAGATAGTTCCTTTAATTTAAAGTTTTAAAGTAAAAGAATCACTGTACTCTTAATAATTTTGTCTAAAAAATTTTTTTTCTAGTTTAAGAAAGAGAGGAATGAGTGTGAAACCAAATTCAAAATTTGCCCAGCTGGATCATTTATTTATGTTTCTTCCAAAGATAAACAAATTACCTTATGTTAATTTTATTTATCTAATTCTTCTTACAATCATAATTAAGCCACGATTATATAAGTTATGTAACCTTTGACCTGTTATTAGTCTTAATAACAAGAGTTAAAAGCTTTAAGTTGGATGAAACTTGACAGTATCTCTATTTGGGATCAAGTTGAAGACTTAATTGTAAACAAAAAAGCCTCTTTTTAATTTTACAAAATCATTGAGCCATGACCAACTTTCTAAAATTTATAAGTTCAATAAGTTTTTGTTATCAAACAAAGACTTATTGAAAAAAATAAGTTCAACAAAAAAGTATAGTTGGTATGATTCATCTTCCCCCGTCCGTAGTTCTTGCTCTGTTCCAACAAATGATTGGTCGATAACTGTGAAATTGATAACTGATTCAAGTGATTAGTTAGATACAAGTGAACAATGGTTACAAGATGAAAATAGAGAAAAGTTAAATAATGGAAAAATAATTATTGGCTTGCATTTATATAGTATAGTATATTTTAATATAGAATAACTAATAAGACTTAATTCATTAAGAATCAATAATTGTAAGACAGCAATAAAATTGAATGTGAACATTTTGTAATTAAAATTAGGTTAATTTTAATTGCAAAACCAGCAATTTGTGTTAAAAAAACAAATGACATTTAAAAAAAGGGGTTATTCTTTATTTAATTCTCATAAAAAGGGTCCACTCTGGTAATGCCTCGCTAAATAAAAAGAATTCTCATTCATTTAACACGTATTGTAAAATCAGGGGCGGGTTATGTCACTCGCCAAGAAGGGGGCTAAAAAGGTCAACAAAAAAATGTGTGCTTATTTTCATTTTTAAGTAACTTTTTCTTAAATTTTTGTACTTTAGTGTAATAATCAAGTTCATATACGTATAATTACGTATAATTTGTCAGTATAGTAGTCCAATTCTGTAAAATAGTCAATTTACAAAAGAATTTTTTGAGAAAAAGTCCTGAGGGAGGGGAGGGGGGGGCTACTACCCCATGCCCCCCCTAAAACCCGCTAATGTGTAAAATCTCCTCTTTTTCAATGATTACCATATGACAACCCTACTTGTCCGTCGCTAACAAAAGAGCAACTGACTTAGAGCGCAATGTTAACAGCGAAAAACATAAAAACCTAATCAAAGTATCAGCGTCATCGAATAAGTTGACGTCCTTTTTTTCACCTAAAAACTCAAAGATATTGCAAAAAGCCCACGAAGCTGAAGCAACTTTAGTATTTCATACAGATTTCCATTATCAGTCTCACAACTCGATGGCCTGCACAGCTGGTTTAATACACACGGTATTTAAAGATTTGGAAATCGCAAAAAATATCGCATGTTCTAAAACAAAAACTGAGGCAATCATGAACCATGCAATTGGCCCCCACACTGTTGATCAACTGGTGAAATCATTAGATAGCTTATCATGTTTCGGTCTTTCCACAGATGCTAGCAACCACGGTTCACAGAAAATATTTCCGATTGTTATTCAGTACTTTGACTGGAAGGCAGGTGGTATCCAAAATAAAATTCTCACTTTAGATAACACACCATATGAAACCTCTGAAACTATATCTCAATATATTTAAAAAACACTCCGAAAATACGAAATGTCGTCCAAGTGTGTTGCTTTTGCTGGAGACAATGCTAATGTAAATTTAGGAGGCGTTAATAGAAAAGTAGGCAAAAATGTGTTCTCGTATTTGAAAGAAGCATTAAAAAAACCGTTGGTAGGTGTTGAATGTTCTGCCCACGTTTTGCATAACTGCATTCAGCATGGTACAGATTTAATGAAGATTGATGTTAAAACTGTTGTCTTGAAAATATTTAACTATTTTTCTATATACACAGTTAGAACAGAATCTTTAAAAGATTTATACGACTATGTTGACATTAGTTATCTTCAACTACTCTATTACTCTAAAACTAGATGGTTAAGTTTGTTTCCTGCTGTTGAAAGATTGCTGAGGTTATTTGATATTTTGAAAATATATTTTCTTTCTGTAGATCAACCACGTTACAATAAAAGTATTTTTTAAAAATGAATTTTCAGAAGCTTACCTTTGGTATTTACATTCCTTGATGACTGTTTTTCAAGTGAAAAACAGTCATCAAGGAATGTAAGTGCAGCAGTTGAAAGGGATGAAACGTCAGTTTTAGAAGTTATGAACCTTCTTCACTCTACCTTGGTAGTTTTAAAAGGTCGGTTAAATGAAATATTCCTATCGCCTAAAGTCAGAGATATATTTAAAAAGTTTAAAGAAAGTGACAGAGAAAAAGATTTTAACTGCTTTGTGGAAGAAGTTAAGTGTGCAAAGCATACATTCTTTATTTAGAAATGTGGTTGAAACCTTTTGATGAATTTCAGTGCTTTGATTGGATGTTTTTAAATAAAGCAAAAGACAGCACATTTGATGATCTTTTGGTATGCATTTTATGCACGAAAGAAAAAGGTATCATTTTGGATGATGTACAATTGTTTGACCAATACTGTAATCTAAAATCATTCGTGCAAGGCAAAAATGAGTATTTTTTTGAAATGCCCTTGCACGAACAGTGAGTTTTATTTTTTAAAGCTTGTCCAAGCTTTAAAAATGGGCGTTGGTGCGTCCCATATGTGGCTATAATGTTTATCCCACTAAAAACACACTAAATAAGAACAAACGTCACACTTCATTTGTACGTGAAAGTTTTATGTGGCCCACGTGTGGGAAGCACATGTTAGCCATATTTTTACCACTCTCCTTTACGGGATGGCGTTGGTGCGTTTCATATGTGGCTTTAATGTTTATTCCACTAAATAAGAGCTAACGCCACACTTCGATTGCATGAAGAAGTCAAATTTATTCCTTTACTCTTTTATTTATCGAATTATTATATCCTATCAGTTTGCCTTATACGTAACCAAAAAAACACTATAATAAACAAAATTATCAAAAAACTTCTATACAATTTATTTGCGGTTGCGGAAATTTGCGCTATTTTTAAACATAACGTTGTTTAATTAAACAACGTTATATATTTTTTCAAATTTATAGTTATACATAATTATGTATAACTATAAATTTGTATTCGTTAAGTATAACTTTGATTTAAAAATTTTATGGAAAGTTCATTTAGAACAACAGTTCTCTAATATATTCATTAGAAAAATCGTTGCAACATTTTTTTTTTAATTTTTTATTTACAAAATTATAAACATTTACAGATTTTTATAACATTATTACAATAAGTAGAAGTCTTAACACACCTAAGTTTTTGTTTTTTATTTTATATTTTTACACTTTTTTTATATATATATATATATATATTTATTTTTATCGCTCAAACAGACTTACAACATTTATAAATTGAAAATTATCAAAACGGTAAGCCACATGATATCATGGAATATTCTAGAGTTTACAATGCATTGCGATAGAATTATTACAATTGGTTAAAATTTTAATTTCAAAATGAGGCAAGATCGTGAGTTTTATATGCATGGCCCATATGAAGCCACCTCAATTTTAGCACTTATTTATTTAAGGATTATGCCACATTAAGTGGAATAGTTTTGTGAACCGCATTATGTGTTCCACAAGTGGGCCACACCTATCTTCATCAAATACGTCATTCATTAACTGTAATATATTTTTGAAATTTTAATCCACACGAAAGCACTATGACCACATGTGGGCTACATATACCTTTCTTGTCGGTTTATTTTCATCCGGTGTCAGTATCCGTGTCAGTACCCCCCCACCCTCCCTTACCTTCAAAAAAAAAGCTATTAGCGCCTAAAAATCTTAAAAACCTTCCGTTATTATATATTACTAAAATGAAGTATATCCTCCTTTGACCTCCTTTTGGCTTTTCTATGTCCTCATTTGGGCGACCGCGCATCTGGCAACCCTATATATAAATGATTACTACATATATTTATAAGAGCAGTATAAAGACCATTTAATCTTTATCAAATCTTATGTAAAGTATTTATTGTATTTTTTTTTGTTAGGAATTGGTGTAATAACATCAGGTAAAGTAAAAACATATATAAACTGGATTGTAGGAATTAATATAACTCCAAAGTAGGTAGATATTTTCGTTTTATCGTTGTTGTTTTTAATATTTTGATGCATTATTAAAATAAAATTAAGATGGCTAGCACAGTAGAACAGATCTTAAATTTAAAGTTTTAGTTCAAAAAGCAAAAAATAGACTAGTTAATGTAGGCTTTGATAAAATATGAGCTAAAGTATACAATAAAGTCATTTTTAAACACTTTGTTAATCTACTTTGTTTTGTCATGTGCATATAATGCCAATCCAGAAAGAGGAGCCAGTCGATGAAGATCTAAAGAACAATTGTTAATGTAAATTAAAATAAATAAATAAAACACATTCTGGTTATATAATGCATATGTCATTATATAAACATGAAATTAACAAAGAATATAAATTATGACTTTTTAAATTAACTTTTATTACTCTGCCATCATAGATAATAGTCTTGGATATGTCAATACCATTCATGGCAACTTTCTACTAAAAGTTTTTTTACACATAATATAATCTAAATCATGAACTTGCATAGATGACAAATTGTTAAATAAATTTCTTAATTCTTCTTAATATTCTATTTATTATTATTATTATAGTTATTTATTTACTTATTTCTATTAATTATTTATTAGTTTCTTATTTATAGTATTTATAAAAAAGTTTGCACTTATAAAAAAAGAAAAACTTATTAAAAGTTGCTGACATCATGCTCAAATTAGAGCTAAGATTTTTTATAAACAGACTTCAAAACAGCAAAAAAAAATTATAAAAAAGAAGAATATATATATATATATATATATATATATATATATATATATATATATATATATATATATATATATATATATGTTTGACTTAAGCGATGTTTAACTGCCAAAAAGGTCGGTGTTATGTGCGTGTATTTGTGTTGATGTATGTATCTTTATCAAATAGGTGGATATCTTATTATTTTTTTGGTTTTATTTGCTTTCAATAATTGCTTTTTAATTTCTATAATTTAGTATAATAATAATATTATTACAAATAATCTAACCTATACCATTTTTTTAACGCGAGTAACTAAATTATAGAAATTATTTAAATTATAGAAATTAAATTATAGAAATTATTATTAATATAACAACAGTTAGTACTATTATACAAAATAAACTAATAATACTAATAATAAGTAAAAACTGTAGAAATTGAGAACAAGATGTGCAGTACAATAGCATAAGATATTGTACTATGACAGCTATTATAAGTTTATAAAGAATACTGTTTCTTTTCTTACTCATAACAACACAATATTGTGCAAAAAATAAACATTTTTTCGGATTAAAAGAATCTCGGCGCAAAATGCTGTGCTTTTGAGGTTTATAAACTCGTATATAAGTTAGTTGAATCAATGTTAGATCAACGTTAATCTAACGTTGATTTTTGGTTTGTTGTCAACGTTGATCTAACGTTTTTTTTTTCAACGTTGATTTGTGTTTTCATTTTAACTAAAAATCAACCATTTTTCAACCATAAATTTTAACGGTTTTTCAACGTTGATTGTGCTTGCTGGGATATATATTATGGGATATACTTTTATGATTATTTATTGTTACTTTTAACAAGAATATATATATATTTAACGCAATAAATGTAACGATATAATTAAAAAACAAAGCGGTTCTTGACGACAAGACCTTAAGGCCTTCTACGAGATCCTGCGTTCTTGCTTTTATTAATTACTAGCAAAAAGCAACCCGTAATACGGGTTTTGGTCGGTCTGTTACATAATTAATTTATAGTGGCTGTTTTCTACAATTTAATGTTGCAAAACCTTAACTAATACCCTTTTAGAAAATCGCCTTCAGCTTGAAAAAATTAATCCATCTGTAAAATTAACATAAAAAGTATGAGGAGGTAAAATAATTTACAAACTACTACTTAACATTTACAATTACTACTCGACATTATTTGAGCAATTTACAAATGGCATAGTTCATAACAGTGTAAAGCAGAACCATTTTCATCGACCTTCCTAAGTTTAACACAATACGTTTTTAGTTACTGACACAAAATAATAACACTTCGTCATGCTTTAAATTGACGAAAGTATCAACGAAATCCTTGTAATAATTTTTATAACACGAACCATTAAGATTAAATAAAGTTAAAAAGAATAAATTATATTATACAGGAGTTATCAATTTTTTGGTATCCCCTTGATTAATTTTTCTTTAGAAAAGAAAATTGTTAACTTAAAAATATTTAATGCACACATTTAAATAAATTTATTAAAAATAACAAAGTTTTTTATAAATAACTAAGCAACTGAGTAGAAATATGTTTCAAATAAAAAAAAATTTAATTTACAATCAAACATTGGTATAATAAATTTGAAAAAATATGTAAACTTAATGCATTTATGCATCATATGACAAACCTAAAATAAAAATTATAACAGATAAGTAGACATAAAAATTTGTAAACCAAGCTGACCCGACCCGGGTCTTGTTAAGTCTGTTCAACACAGACCATTTCTATATTAATTGTTTGGCCTCTTTATTTCATTAATTTTTAGTAAACGGTATTTTGCCACCATTTACTATTATAACATTTACATTTATAAATACTATTACACCATTTACATTTATAAATCCTTTTGTAACTCGAAATTTAATTTTCTTAAATATTTTGACTCTTATAATTGCAGTTAAAGATTTATAGAAAATGTAACTATAAAATCTGTTTCGAAGTACAAAAGAATTAACAATACTAAAAAAAAAAATCAAACTAAGATATAAATTGTTGTCTTGGCTTTTATAGTTTAAACATATATACAACTGTAAACAAATATGACTTTGTAACACATATAAACACATTTTACAACTATTGAATGATAGATATATTAATCAAAAACTATGAAAAAAAAATAAATAATGATAAATAAAGTTATATATACAAAATGTGCTCACAACCTTTAACAGTAAATTTTCGAAATGAAAATCTCAAGACTATAAATTAAGAACATTAAAAAATATAACAATATTTATGTTACATTTTTTTACCTAGTATACCTTGAATAAGATGTTTATCAATTTTGAAAAACAAACTATTAAATGCTCTAGTTCTTGAAAACGCAACATATAGTTGACCATGAGAGAAACACAGCAAAGAATTTAGACTACAATGCAAAGTTATTTTTACCTTCAGGCACAATCTTAATTCACAAAAATAATAAATGCTGACTCTTGTATAAAAAATGAAAAATATGTATATATATTCAAATTTTTTCTATTCTTTTTAATTTTTTCTATGAGATAATATTTATATAGATTTAGAGAAATATAAAATATTCTGATATATAGGCACATTTATGTATATAAACTTAACTGTCAAAAATTACAGTCGGTTTTCCATGTTAAATACATATAATATAACTAATATAAAATAAAACAAAACATTAAACTTACTCAAATCAGTAACAGTTCGACTGTCTAAAAATTTTTATTATTAACCCTTCTATTTAAAAAAAAGTTCTTAAGAATCTGAAAACAAATAAGTTAAAAACCAAGAACAAACAAACATTTTTTTATTAAAACTACTCTATTTAAACAAATTAAATTAAACAGAGAACAACATTAATTCTCTTTGAAAGCTGAAAAACTTTTCAGCTCAAATTTGCTTGCAGACCTTGCTTATAAAACCACTTGAATAAAAAAAGCATTGAAAAAGCCTAAAAGCTACTTAAAATGGTATATGTAACATTGAACTTTGAATGTTGACTGGAGTAGATATATATTTTTAAAAAATTCAAAATGATTTGTTTTTCTATAGGAAATAAAACCACTATAAATCTGAAATTAGAAATGTAACAAATTAGTAAATACAAAGAAAAACATCATATATGAATTGAAAATCAATGAACCTGATAGAGATCAGCTGTTTTGATACCTGAGAGTAGTAGTTGCTAAATATTGTTTTTTCATGATAAACAAAATGTATTTATAGCGAAATGGTCTTGAATGAAGTTTAGTAAATAAATAAAAGCAGTGAGTTCTAGTAATGAAACTACCTATTAATCATTTTTAACAGCTGACACCATTGTAAAGATAAGCCAAAGGTAACAACATTATGCAAAAAATTATTAAAGATAATGCAATGTGTTTTTAGAATAGTTATATTAAAGGCTAGGCAACATTTAGACCTAAAGTAGTAACATCGCTTGACTGGTAAGGTTGATAAATCTTGCTCTACACGTTTGCCAAGTAACTCCACTTTGAAATCATGGAAACAACATTATATAAACATATATACTAATTATAAAACACAATATATTTTTTTAATGTTACTTAGCATATAAAAACACCCCATTTAACAATCTTGCACAAATTAGATATAATACATTTCATACTATTATAAAAACACATTTATATAAACACATTTATAAAACAACTATATAACATATATCACCCCATACATGTATTTGTCAAAAAATTTTAAACTTTGAGCATAATATACATGCAAACTTATATGCAATCTTTTAACAACTATAAAACAACATTTATTAGCATCAATTATTTTTAATGTAACAAAGAATGCAGATACAATGCACAACATTGTTAATAAAAATGAAGTTATATTAGTCAGTATATATTAATCTAAAGCAATGAAAAAGAAGAAACCATTTAAGAACAAAATTAAAAATTTCTAATAAATTAAAAATTTCTAATAAACATATTTAGATACCTTAAAATGAAGCATAGAACAACATTCTTTTGACAAATTGCAGAAGAAATTTTCTCAACTTTCTATTCCTTATTATTTATCCTTAGAGAAAATGTATATATAGATATAGATAAATATAAAATAGACTGAAATAAATCGAAAATCTTAATTTTTGTATGAGAAAATAACTTGAACTTACTAAAAAAAGCGATCAGCTCCTCTTAACTGCTCTAAAAAAATAAAACTATTACTGCTTAAAATGTTTTAAAAAGACTAACTACCAAACTGAAACAGTTTTCTTAAAAAAGAAACATTGTACTAAAAAAACTATTTTACCAGTCAATTTAGTTCTAACTTATTCTAAAAAATGAAAAATAAATACATATTTAGATACCTTAAAATGAAGCATAACATAACACCCTTTTGACAAACTCCAGAAGAAATTTTTTTTGTTTTTCTATTTTCAACTATTTTTGCTAAGAGAAAATACATATAGATATACATATATATATATACATAAAAAACTAACAATTATTTAAATTTTTATTTTAAAAAATAAACAACATCAATTCTTCTTGAAAATAAGTGTTCAGCTTCAATTTGCTTGCTGATTTTACTCGAAAGACCGAGTGGAAATATAACTGCGCTTAGAAAAGTCGGTTAGTGCTATTTAATGTGGTTCATTCTAACATTTCCGAATTTGAATAAATCGCAGACCTAGAACTGTTTTTTGGAATGTTATACGCATGCGTTATTTTATATATATATATATATATATATATATATATATATATATATATATATATATATATATATATATATATATATATATATATATATATATATATATGATTTGTTGTATATATATTGATTATATATATTACGCAGTTGTTGCTTTACATATTTCAAACAATATTAAAATTTCAAATTTCAAATTTTTTCAAATTTCAGTTACAAGCATTGGTAAGACTTTTCGTGTTTAGGTATTTTTGAATATTAGATACAATATTAGATAAGGTAAAGTTGTTTTAAAAATATTGTTTAAAAGATATTATCACAGAGGTTTCTTTAAATCAAAAATATAGGTAGTTTATGTATATAGTTTTGATTAGCATTTAGTTATTGCATTGTTGTATAGTTTTGAATAATTTTTTAAAGTATGAAATATTAGAGATTCTAAATTCTTTTTGACTCCTTAATTGTTCATGTTTTTTGGTTTTGTTTTTGGATAAAATAATTAGAAAATGCCTAAAAATACATGTATTTTTCAATTAAAATGGCTTGTTGACAGAAAAGACGGAAACTGTTATGATTTTCAGTTATTGTACTAAAGATATTAATATTGCTATCATAGAAAAAGCTGCTTTAACTTCGCACATGGAAGGTAAAAAGCACATAGAGAGATCTCCTTCTGCAAACAATATCAAGCCATTATTGCCAACTGCTACTAACACTGTTTTAGTTAATGAGTTTATGTCAAAATGCTCAAATAAAGCAGAACATCAAAAAAAAAAAATTATAAAATGCTAATAAATACATATACGCTAGAAGCTGAAGTTTGTTGGCTTCTTAATATTGTTTATTCTAAATATTTAATGAATTCTTCAGCTGATTCTGGTAAATTATTTTGTAAAATGTTTCCAGATAATCATTGCTAAGTTGTTTCAATGTGGACCCACCAATGCCAGTTATGTTGAAACATTCGGATTATCTTACTTTTTAAAAAACGAGTTGCTCACTTTCCTATCTAATACATCTTATTACGCTGTTACAAAAGGAAATCAAGGATTTGTACAATCAAAAGATGATTTACAAGAAAAAAAGATGATTCATGAAAATTATAAATTCACTGCTAAATCTTAAAAGTATATTTTTGTAGTTATAGAGTATATTTTTGAGTTATAGTTATATGAGTTATACATTTTGAGTTAATTATGTAGTTATAGAGCATATTTTTGTAGTTATAGAGTTTTAGTTTTTGTTTTGTTGTTTTGCTAAAACCGTATTTATATTATGAGTATTTGAAATGATTAAGATATTTTTGAAATTAGTTGCATTAAAAGTTTCCTTTCAAATAAAAAATAGTTCCTTGTTAAATTTTATTTGAATTTACATTTAGTTATTCAGTGCTTGTAGCTATATTTAAGTAGCTGTAATATATTTCTTTATTCTACATTTGATTTCTAAATTAATTTACATTTAGGTGCGTATTTTGTGTTATCTTTGGGCTATCTATAAAAAAGTCTATAAAAACTTTTTATATTGTACGTCCTAGAAATAATGAAGCAAATATCCTGGTAAAAGAAAAAAATTGTCCTGGGTAATCCTGGAATTTCAATAGTTTTTTCTGGTGTGAACCCTGTTCAAAACAAAATTCCTTTGGATTAACTAAGGAGGGCCTCTTTTCTAAATGCTTTTTTTTGTTGATCCAGAGATTATAGCAAGAAAATTTATATTTAAAGATATAGCACAGCTAATCTAATATTGAACAGTTCTATAAATTTATATATAAATCAATAAAACTGCATCAGTCTTCCAAAGATTTATTAGTAGTATAAATGTTAGTATATAAAAATAATGATAAGCTACAGTATTCTGCAAATTGATTGCATCAAAAAAAAAATTTTTTTTATTTATTTGTTGTTTCATTTTTATTTGTTTGTTAATTAGTCAAAAGTAAATTTTTAAAAAAGGCAGGCGGGTATTTCAGGCACACCCTTTAGTATGTCCGTAAAAAATGCTTATATAAAACAAGTATTGTTGAAAACCCTTACCCATACCCTTACCAAATCTCAACCCTGAAAGTTAGGGTTACGCTCTGGGTTTGGTTTGCGTTCCTTGTATGTTACCGCAGGGCCTCATGTGGTGCCTTACACTACTAATGCAATTATTGATCAATAATACAAAATGCGTTTATTGATTTCACTATCATTATACATTTTCATCATCCAAAAGATAGTATCATATTGCAATATCTGTGACACCAAAAGTATCATTAATATGGGCAATCATAAGGTTGTTACAGGTTGCATAAAATGCTTTAGATATGTTCAGAAACTGGTGGTAAAAGCACCAAGAACAACAGCAAATTATTGCCTAACTTATAGATCTTATTTCTGACTAACTATAATGATATCATTAACACCGAACTAAATAATTCAACAATAAATCATTTAATGTTTTATATAATTAATTTTATTTTCTTGTATTATTTATTTAGAATTATATAGACTATTGTATGAAACGTTTAATGTAAATATTACTCACTATATATTAATATATGGAATAATTCTTTAGAATCCAATAATTAAGCTGAGATGTCGTCAGGTAACATTTCAATAATTACTCTCTTTTGTTACTTATCAAATCATTCATTTCAAGTACATCAATTGTTAAAAGTAATCTAGTTCTAATTTTGTTATAGAAGAGTCAGAGCCAACTCGCTCAAGATCACGTGGATCAAATAAAAGTATAAAATTTCCTATTCACAGTATTTTTTAAGATATTACTTTATGATGTATCATCTTTTTGTAATTACATTTTGTAATTAAAATAATGTTTTTATAACTATTGTTATAACCTTTTAGAATTGAAGAAAAGGGAAGAGGTTTCGTCGTCAGGTAAAAAAAAAAACAAATAAATAATTACTCTCTTTTGTTACTTATCAAATCATTCATTGCATGTACATCGATTGTTAAAAGTAATCTAGTTCTAATTTTGTTATAAAAGAGTCGGAGCCGACTCGTTTAAGATCATGTGGATCAAAGAAAAGTATAAAAATTTCTATTCACAGTATTTTGAAGATATTACTTTATTATGTATCATCTTTTTGTAATTACATTTTGTAATTAAAATAATGTTTTTATAACTATTGTTATAACCTTTTAGAATTGAAGAAAAGGGAAGAGGTTTCGTCGTCAGGTAAAAAAAAAAACAATTAAATAATTACTCTTCTGTTACTTATCAAATCATTCATTTCAAGTACATCAATTGTTAAAAGTAATCTAGTTCTAATTTTGTTATAGAAGAATCGGAGCCGACTCGATCAAGATCTAGTGGATCAAAGAAAAGTATAAAATTTCTTATTTGCAGTATTTTTTAAGATAATACTTTATGATGTATCATCATTTTGTAATTTTCTATTTTATTCTATTTTTAGCTGTAGAAAAAATGCTGCTTCAGTTAAGTGAGTTTTATCAATAATTTTTTTGTTTTTTGAGTCTTATCATTTGTTTTTTTATTTTAGTAAACATGCATGTATCCAAGACTATTGACCATATCGTTTTGATTGCTATATAATTTATCTCATTGTTTAAAAAGTACTATTAACAATCAATAACAATTTCCACTTGAATTAAGTGTCTTTGATATGTCAATCAAATTACTTTGTCTTATGCAATAGGCAACTTAATACATACATATTTTGGTATGTGTTTTGGGCACTGGTTAAATCATTTGATATCATGTCAGTGAATTTACATTTATAATAGAGAAATATTTATAAAAATATAAAAAAAATATTTTTTTTTTTTTTTGTAAAACAAAAGTTTCGCTTATGTTATAATGAATGTTTTCTTTTTGTTGTTTTAGTGGAACTGCAAAAAGATACCTGTACGTTTTTAATGTTATCGTTTATTTGTTGTAGAAACTTAAAGTGATCTTTTATATAACATGTTTACTTCAATTTTAAAAAATTAAATCATTTTTCATTTCATTTACCTCTTTAGTACTACGTGTGAAGCAATTAGAAGAAGATAAAGGTTTTTTAAGTTCTACTTTATACTAGATAGATATTTAAACTATATAAACTATCCTATTATTAAACTGAAATATTTGCTTTTACTTTTCAGATACAGTAACGTTTTCTTCACAAGCCACAAACGGTATTGGTATTATTTTGAGTGTGATACTTTAAAAATCATACATTACATATTCCTTACATATTTTGTTTATTCCAATGTTAGATTTGTCCTACGATGGCTATCGTATTTACCGTCGACGGCATCGTGGGCCCACTTCCTACAGCTCCTACAGGAAGTGGGTCAACAATAACGGAGTTGACAACTCCTCTTTTAATTGGAAGGGAAGAATGAGAGGAGGCGGCAGAGGTCGAGGTGGGTGGCATAATCATAAAAATTTTAACTTATTTAAACTTTAAATATATTGTAAATTAATGTTTAGTTTTTCTTGTTGTTTAAAAACGTCAATTTTGTTTTTTCAAAAAAGTGACAACGGCTCTCTAATACACTGAATTGACATTTACTAAATTAACATTAACAAAAGCGGATCTCAACGCTAATAAAACATTTTTTGCATTTGTTAATTAAATTAATCTAATTTAAATGTCATAAGTTAATTAAATTAATCTAATTTAATGTCTTGCTTGCCTTCAAAGTACAAGTCCGATTTGGTATCTCTTTTGACTGGAAGAAAAAGTCTTATATCCTATGTAAATTAACATTTATTCTTTTTAAATTAAAATTAAAACTTTTATATGCTAATACACGTATTTGCATAGTAGCCCTCTAATATTGGCCTATGGAATGCTTATTGATTGACTTACAAAAATCTTTTTTTTGTATTTTTGTGAAAGTTGATTGTTTTGTATAACAATCTACTTTCACGTAGATAGATGAAAATTACGTATATATATTTAGATTACGTAATTTTCACGTAATACTCAAAACAAGCGAAGAACAGGAAAACCATACATTAAAAATGCATAGAGCATAAAAGACCTTTTTGACTCGGTTTATGAAGTTCTTTGAACCAGGGATTATCAAAACACACAATTGTACATACTCATTTATTTTCTAAAAAAAAATAATTTATATTGTTCTATAATTAATTAGGAATTTAAAAAACCAATTTGCAAAAAATTGATTTTATTTTGAAAAATTTCGGAATTAATAGGGATGTCAACTAATGATCCTGATGAGAATGTTATCTTGACACTACATGGATAATTGGATATTAAAACACCTATATTTTGATCATTTACATTTCAATATTAAAGCACCTATATTTTGATCATTTACATTTCAATACACTTATGCTCATCATTCAAATATTTATACTGGTACTCTTAGAAGCTATATTTGTTGATTTATGCCTATAAGGTTATACTTTAATAAGATTGAGTCATTAAAACATTATTCTAACTTCTATTCAACACAAAAAAATGTGTGAAATAGCTATTGTAATGTATATAATACATATAAATGATTTAGGGATACTTTGGAGAATATCTGTATATATAATCATAATGATATATATATATATATATGTGTGTATATGTATATATATACATATATATATATATATATGTGTGTGTGTGAGAGCATACACAGGTGTGAGTACATTCATGCTCATATGTGTTTGCATTAATACACATATAATCTTGTTTATCAGTGTGTGTATATGTATTTATTTATGTGCTATAATGTATTTGTATGTTTGTATTTTCTTCAATGTATTTATATATATGCTTTAATATAATACTACTAGAGTCATACATAACATTTAATATACAACTCCAGCTAACCATAACTATTACAATTACTGACTTCTACTGTCACCATACATGCTCTAAAATTTTGACTATTATGTCTAACACTCCTGTCAGGGTTATTATAACAATATCCTTTCCATCTGATATCTACTTAAAAAACGAATAATTCTACTCCAGCTCTCTTTTATACACCATCTGATAACTACTTGAAGAACGAATAACTCTATACCAGATCTGTGACATACATCTGACAAATACTTATAAAACGATTAATTCTGCTTCACCTCTCTTTCATAAACCATCTGACAACTACTTAAAAAAGAATAATTCTACTCCAGCTCTGTTACATACATCATCTTATAACTACTTAAAAAACGAAAAATTCTAATCATGCATACATCATCAGATGTCTACTTAAAAACAAATAACTCTACTCCAACTCTGCTACATACATCATCTGATAGCTTAAGACACAAGTACCTATGAATATTATTAAGCAAATAACTGGTCATGATTTTCAGAAAACGAATAATTCCACTCCATTTTAAATACTTCTCGTAACATCACAAACACGTGACTTATGCATTGTGATTCTTTTTACTTATACAAAATACCAAACACTTTTTCAAAAACTCATATTAACCGGTGAAACTACAAAACTCCATATGACTGTTATGTATTAGTGGTAATTTTTATAAAGATTATTAGTTAATAAATTAACATGTTAGTTTTTGTTGTTATATTAATGTAATTATAGTTTAATATTTTAGATCATCTAGTTATAATAGTTTGTTTATTCTCTGGAAACACGTCATAGAACTACTAAAAATCACGCCTAGCTTACGTTACATCTACTTAAAGGACCTTAAACTATTTTTTGTACTGATAACTCTTACTATTGAGGCATGCTGCTACAATAGTTACACACGTAAACCACATTATCTATTTACATTACACATACCTAAATGAACTCAAAGCAGTTCACAACTCTCATTGACCCATGCCACACTTTGACAAAACATTGGACACTCAAGTCAAAAAACATGGACACTCAAGTCAAAAAACTACTTTCTACTGTTTGCAAGTTGTACTGAACCCCGCTAAGTGTCCTCTGGTCCCAGTGTCAAATCGGGAGTCTGTGGTTATCGTCCTGACTGGATACTCTGAGAATAGTCCTTTTGGGATAACACAATGGGATACCTTAAAAAGACACCCTCGTGTAGACCTAGAGTAAAACTTCTTTTGGGATACCAGTCTCGGATGAAAGCTGGAGGTCTTCATGTGTTCATACTGCACCATAAGGCACGAATCCATACTGTACTTGAGACGTTCATGACACTTATATCTATAATGTATGTTTATCATCCTAATAATACAAACCAAAGGGTGACTACTTATAAAACGAATAATTTTACTCCATTACCAATTCTATCTATACATCACATTTACGCTGGACTAACAACAATTTAGTAGCACAACAACTAATGACTTTTCTTGACTATTGTTTATTATTCTTATTTATTTTTTACTACATTTTACTTATATCAGTTTTTAAAAATTTTTCAACTTTGAAGCTCTTTGTTTTCTACTGGACATCTGTCCTTTTGTACTTTTATCTCACTCTGCTAAACTCTTTTTAACTTATAATTCATCCCTAAGGCGTTCACTGCTCGGTGCAGCTTCACTAAAATGCATTGCATTTACAAAAACTTGATTTTTTTTTTTAAATTTCCGAATTAATAGGGATGTCCACCTTAAGATGTCAAGATTTTTTTGAATTTGACAAGAAATTTTTCAACTACGTTTTACGAACTGAAATTATTACTAAAGTTAAATAAGAAAAAAATCAACCGACAGTAAAGGCCGTTTTCCACAAGACGAAATATTCGCGCGAAGCGAATTGTTTCGCTATGACGAAAACGCTGTTTTAATTTCCACTTACTTTCTTTCGCGCTACTTTTTTTTCGTTGTCAACAATAATAATGACAGCAATAAGTTTACGCTGTAGGTGTAAGTAAAGGCAGTTATTACTTTTTTAGCATACTTTCTATTTTGAAGCATGTGAAAATTTCATTCCGTGCATTAATATTAACATTTCTGCCTTTTTATGTAAGATGTGATATTATTTTGTAATATAATCATTTGATATAAGGTTTTTTTTACAAGAAAGTATAAGAAAATAAATGCTAAACTCTAATATGAACATTTCTATTAAAAACTGTTACTGCAAGAACGAACAACAGGTTTAACTCTATGTAGAATTTTTCACAAAAAGGTTTATCTTTGTGTGGCCACTTAAAGATAAACATTCTTATGAAGTGTAACTTTCGTAATTAACAGTGTGAAAATTTATATAAGTAAATTCTCGATTTAGTTTTATATATAAATCTGGTCATTTTTTTATGTAAGTCTTGCCCCTTTTTTGATAAATTTACTCATGCTTACCAATTTTCAGAGTAAGTTTATATAAAATTAATAAGAACGCCAGGTTAAGAATTTTGTTACTTTAAAAACATGTTTTTGCTTTTTTTGTGTTGTTGAAATCACGTGATAAATATTCAAAACTTCATTGGTTTTCACTTATGGCGATTCGCAAAAAGTCGAAATGAATCCGACTTTTTTTTTCGTTGGAGCGAAACGCTGTAGCAAAAAATAATCAGTATTATCGCCAAAAAAGTTTAATCTGCGCATGCTTAACGACGAAAAAATAACGACGAAAAAAAAAAACGACGAAAACGGCCTTAACCCAGCTATAAGTCTAATCTCGGTTTAATTAGTTTTTAATAAAAAAAACATATAAAAGTAGTTTGTTAATTTTGCTAAATAGAAATATCAACAAAATTTTGGGCACATTAAGTTCTCTTCAAATTTATCGCTTGGTATAATTTATTAACTGCTGATTTAAACAATAACAAGCGAAAAAAAAAAATAGGGAGCTCATGATGACGATAACGATAAAAAAAACAGGCTCTATAAAATTTCGAAAGGGTTAGTGTTTGTAGGTATGCCCTACTCGTTGTAATTAAAGGAAATCATAAACAAGTGCCACGAATTTAAA